AATAGCTCCACACTAGTGTCCAGCCTCCTCCATCAGTTTCCATGTCACAGTAAGCCTTGAAAGCGTTGGCCTGGGATCCACCATCAGGATCAATCCAATAAACACCAGAGTTTGAAGTAGGATTCTTCCTGAGGAGGGTCTGGCACGAGTGACCTACTACTGAATGCTGGGTTAAACCTGAGTGCGAAGGAATGGTTTGATCTATAGGGTTACAAGGTTTTGAAAAAAATGGAGAACACGTTTTTAAATGATTAAAACTGGGTTTCTGTATTGAAGACCAGTTCTCTGTTTCCAACTTATCATCTACTCCTTATTCCCTAAGGTGCTCATCGACCTGACAATTCGACGATATTTTAGACAAGTTTTACTCAGTTTTAACATTTTTGATGTTTGCCAACTTTATATTACGATGTCACAATTTTGATATTTCAAAACCATGCAATGCCTAACTCCCGTTTTTTGCATCGTGTTTGTCTGCGGTGTGAAAGTTGAATAGCTGCTTTCAACATTTCATTAATCATTTGACCCCTAAGAGTGACTGGTATCTATTTTTCATCGCAAAATCAACCCTGAATCAGAATCACGGGAATAAAGGAAATAATCATCAACTAACAAAGCTCTTGATAGATAAACAAATTCTCTTTGTTAGTACCCTAGGAAATGTATAGAGACTGGTATGGAGAATATGCATACTAACGATAGGCTATGGAGGGTTAAATATGGCAGTTTAAATCAGTTTCCTAGTTACCAATCTCAACACTAATCTTCCGCTCTCACCTTGGGTTGAAGTTGTTATTCCTGGGAGGTAAACCTGCATTGGAGTCAAACAATACATATCAGTTGATACCCATAACTCATGTATGCATGCCTATGCGCATGCATACGAAATTCTTGAAGGCTTCTTGGTTAGTAACTGTGTGTTGTTAGTTGTTGGTAGCTTCCGCTTATAACAAAACGTTTTATGTGTTTTGGATGATAAACTTGATTTTTAAATGAACCTCTGGTTATTGGTATTTTCGTCTCCATTTGTCAACTAAAGGGGATAAGTTTAGTAAGAAGCGGTGGGGTTAAGTCGGTAGGGTTTATAACAAGACAATTTGAATTTATCAACTGATAATGTAAATTGGTCATGGCTCGAGACTTCAGCTCTAAAATCTCTTCAAGGCAGCCAATTAAGAGGCGATCTCTGTAAGAGCGGTTCAGGGCATTTCGCATCCAAAAAAAGTTTTCCCTCAAACTTTTCCCAATAAACTATCTTTGGTTACAAGTAAATAAAACCACATTAGTTTCTGGAAATACGTTAACATAAATTTTTTTAGAGCTGTCAAAAGTCAAAGCTGCAAAAGGCCCTTTTTTTGACCTTTTGCGACATCGAAAATTTCAAAAGTTGAATAGCTCGGTCCTCGTATCACACCGCATGCAGCAAAAAATATTTTTTATTCTTAAAGTGTGTGATATATAAGGTGTATAAAATGCATTTCAATTTTGATATTCGTTTATTCAGAGGCTCGTCAAAATTTATTTAAAAACACTCGTTGAACAGCTTTCTGAAATTGGTTAAAAGTACTCTTTCTTTCTTGGTTGATATTGCTCAAGTCCAGACCAGACCATTAAAAACGCCGCTTGATTTCTGCTAATAAGATGTTTGGCTGCAGAAAAATATAAAAACATCTTGCACTTATTGATTTTCTTCGCCGAGGTGACTTCGAACTTTTAGCGATATTGCTAGCGTGACAGCCGATTATGCAAATTAGTTCATTGAGCAAACTCCGACCGTTTTATGTGAGTAGCTGAATAAATCTTAGCTTTTGACCATTATAAGTAGAAAATAAAATAGGAAATATAGTGGAAAAGCATTAAGACCACACCAATTAATACCTTAAACATTTTAAAAGGCCAAAATTTTGACAAATTTTATTATGTCGTGACGAAAGACGTCAACAACAACATATCGTATGTCATAATTTGATTGGCGCTCGCAAACCCTTTTAAATAATTTGGCTTCTGTTCTGACAGCTCTATTAAAACCTGTATGAATATTTCAAAACCAAACTACAGGATTCTATTTGGTGTAACCGGCGATAACAGCACACACTGAAATACACCGTGACCACTGTCACATAATTCAATTGTGTAATTATCCTGAATTGCTTCTCCCTTCGTAATAAAGCAGCGATAACATCGCCTTTTGGATCAGAATTCTGGTCGGCAGAAATAAGAGAAATTTTGCCTGCACACCGGTCTTTATGAAAGTTTCTATTCAGAACTCTAGAGAGTTCTTTTGGAAAAGGACCCCGCGATTTTTGAGGAAATAAATTATTACGTTACGTCTCACCTCATTTTTCCAAAAATTAGCTATATTTATATCGTAAAGCGTGTAATTTTATTAGCTGTAATTCATATGTCTCTTTCGGTACTGGTTTGCTTGGGATTAATAAAAAAAAATTCTTGAAACGGTATTCGCCACAAGAAGTCCTGTTTTCAGTCGCGTTCCTCAGAAACTTCGTTCGGAGACTGACGAGGAGTTTCCGGTTTGTTTAACTTGCCTCAGAGTACTGACTCAATAAAGAGTCATCTCTGCTTAATCCATTTGTTAAAAGAGAGTTTCACAGAAGGAGAGCTTATCTTTGCAAGGGCTGGCCTGTTCGATGTAGAAGACTCAGTTATGGCAAAATGTGGGTCTGCGCAAAGCATAGGCACACTTATGGGAAGTTCTGGCGCCAAAGTTCAGCGTGGCAGTATCCGACACACCCTGGTAGCGATTCCAAATGGGTAAAGAGCCGGTATTCTGTCAATTTGCAAATGTCAAAGGCCATTTCTAAGATGTATGGCGTTCTATAGAGGTTTAGACAATACTGCAGCTGAGGGAGCGGATGGTTTCAAGGATTTTCTCCAAATTATAGACGAATTGGAAAGCGTGGGAGCAGAAAAGGACTAGGGTAAAGTTGGGAAGAGGCTTTAGGAGAGCAAGTTGTATTTGAAGACTACATACCGTAATCGCTACGAAGAGGAAGATAGAAAATGTACCGATCACTCTAGGGTCTTTGCACTTAGTCATGCTGTTGACACTGACGTTCAGAAAGTATGCAGTCACAGTTACAACGTGAGGTGTGAGGATTGTGAGAAGCTGAAGAGTATTTTTGAAGGAGAAAAAGGCGCTATTTCTGAGTACACAATGCAGTTGGGTAGGTTTCAGAGAAAGGCGAGGAACACAGTAATGGATGAGATAGGATTGAAACATCCAATCACGTTTGATATCTATGACGTGTGCTCGTGGCAAGAGAAGCAAGGTTGCCTAGCCTCAAAGTCAAGATGCTAAGAGACATGTGCAAACATTTTGAGCTCGCATTCAAAATGCAAGATACAAATGCAGCACCTCTTGCAAAAATGGAGGAAATGATTTCGGAGTGCAGATGTTATGCAATCTAGTTATGACGTCCACCGTTAATTATGCAAATGCGATATCCTTTTTCACAAGAACTCTTCAAACTTATGAGAAGGGACTGTTATGCAGACAGGCGTGACGACCAAATATCACTTTTTTCCCTTTCAGCTAGAAATCCGAGCAATCGCTGCTTTATTTAGACATGAGAAGTATTCAGGACAATTACACAATTTGTCCGTTTACGAGACAGAGTCAATGGTCACGGTGTATTTCTGTGTGTGCTGTTATCGCCGGTTACACTAAATAGAATCCTGTAGTTTGGTTTTGAAATATTCATACAGGTTTGAATAGCGTAAGCCATCAGAACTCAAATGTGAAATAACAGAAGCCAAATTTTTAAATAAGTTCGCGAGCGCTAATCAAATTATGATATTCGATACGTTGTTGTTGACGTCTTTCGTCACGAGATATTAAAAATTGTCAAATTTTGGCCTTTTGAAAAGCTTAAAGTATTAATCAGTGTGGTCTTAAAGCTCTGTCCTACTGTATTTTCTTCTTAAAATGGTTAAAATCTAAGATTTATTGAGCTACTCATATAAAACGGTCGGAGTTTGCTCAATGAACTAATTTGCATAATCGGCTGTCACGCTAGCAATATCGCTAAAAGTTTGAAGTCACCTCGGCGAAGAAAATCAATAAGTGCACGATGTTTTTATATTTTTCTGCAGCCAAATATCTTATTAGCAGAAATCAAGTGAAGTTTTTAATGGTCTGGTCTGGACTTGAGCAATATCAACCAAGAAAGAAAGAGTACTTTTAACCAATTTCAGAAAGCTTTCCAACGAGTGTTTTTAAATAAATTTTGACAAGCCTCTGAATAAACGAATATCAAAATTGAAATGCATTTTATAAACCTTATATATCACACACTTTAAGAATAAAAAATATTTTTTGCTGCATGCAGTGTGATACGAGGACCGAGCTATTCAACTTTTGAAATTTTCGATGTCGCAAGATGTCAAAAAAGAGCCTTTTGCAGCTTTGACTTATGAGAGCTCTAAGAATTTTATGTTAACGTATTTCCAGAAACTAATGTGGTTTTATTTACTTGTAACCAAAGATAGTTTATTGGGAAAAGTTTGAGGGGAAACTTTTTTCCGATGCGAAATGCCCTGGACCGCTCTTACAGAGATCGCCTCTTAATTTGCTTTAGAGTGTACGATATTTTGTGATCGTGTATTTGAAAAGTTAGTCACCAGGTCACATGACAATGACCGCTTAAAAGGAACTAGTTTTAATGGCCACATGTTACCCTCTGACTTGCGGACTTGACGAACAGTAGCAGAGTTAAACGGCAGTAGGGTAGTGCGGCAGCAGATTTGAACTTAAATTTTGCACGCAATATGTAACACACATTGCATAGATGGAATTGCATAGATTTGTTAAGTGTGCGTTAAAGAAGAAAAAGATAATTCTTCGTAGGGCTGGCCAAGAAACTTTAAATCACAATACTGAGAATGAAAATTTGAATTAAAGACTATATCATTCACAGCTCTATTCGTTGAGTAGAAATGGCTTGATTATGTTTTTGTTAAATTCATTTTTCCTTGAGCGATTACTGGTTCAAAGCCACCAACATTCTTGTTATTGATGTTTCAAATACTGACAGTTTAATCAACGGTTGCAAACTACTTGCGTACACAAGTTCGCAGAAAACACTGAAAAAATACTGTGAAAAACCAGAAAATGGTGATTAATTACATTTAGTGTTTTAGTCAATGATTGTTACTACGGTGCATCGTGCATTCAAGTCGGTGCATAGTGAACAATTTTATTCAATCGAATCAATTCCCTTACAAAATACAAATACTAACGTTGTAAAGGTCGTCCAGATTTGACCCATCCAAGCTATAAGGAACTAGGTACTGAAAGTTAAAGTTAGAAGTATAAGGAAGGATGGATGTCAAGGAATGTTGCCATTCCTTTTTCGTTTCCTCTTTAGGGAAGCAAACTTTATGAATTTGTTTTCTTGACCTTCTTGAAACGGGTAATACAATTTTGAAAAATGATGATGCAACAATGTTTAGTTAATTTTTAACGGCATTTTGTACCTTACGTCAGCCAAATGATAGAAGATACTGTTGTTAAACTAATGTTGTAACTTAAGTATTCTATTCATGTTATACGAAAGATTGAAAAGAAAGAGGGAATTTTTACTGCTGTTAATACAAGTTTAGCCTCGTTAGAAGTGTGAATAACAATAGTACTAAGCTTTGACGCAGGGCTAACGCTCGAAACGTCAGCTTTAAAATCTCTTTCCGGTGACCAAGTTACATTATCAACTCAGTTAATAAAACCAAAGTATCTTCTTGAATCAGAAATAACCAACGATAAATTTAAGCGCAGTTCTGTACAGTAGGTAAAACCATTGCCAGCTGAACTGCTCAAATTCTGCAAAGTTTTTCTTTCGCTTTATGCGAGAAATATGCATATTCTCTTACCTTGGGACTCACCATCTGATTCGACTCCATAGGATCACGAAGCACAGCTGTTGTACCATCTCCATCCAAGTCAATCACTTGAATACCATTCGATCTTTGTGCGAGATCTCTTGAAGTGACTAAAAACAGCATTGTAAATAATCAAAGTAAGATTATTTCATGTTGAAGAGCTCCGGACTGCTCTACAGGAGGAGGAGACTGAGGAGAATATGCTGCCTGCCTGATTATTCCAGACATTCATGTCTCCTGCATCTTCTGGCAAACAGTACACGTGACTCCCGGTGTTGTGGTCTGACCCCGTTATTGTTCATATGGGTCCCCATTTAAACCAGCTTTAAAGATGAACTAGGCTAGCTAATATCGTCAATAATCCAATAACAATTTCAGTGATGAAGATTAAATTGAAGGTGTGTTGAAACAGTAATTCAAAAGAATTCGTGGAACGTAACACAAATTATCCTCATAATTGGTTTAACTTTTAATATTACGTCTATTGTATTTCATTATTTATTTGAACATGTTTCTTCCTCTCACCAAGTCCAGCACTAGTTTTTTTCCTTGCAATACTCGCTTGAGTGACTGATGTGGTACTAAAATTATTCTTTCGTCCAGACGCTGGGAGTGTCACACAATGACCGCCGCCAACACAAGCAGTGCTAGATTGAAAAGCGCTGCCTGGGATAAGTTTTGCCGAGTTTGTTTGTTGCGATCCTGGAAGAAAGGGCACAATAAAGTTAAAGTTACGGTTTAACATAACCAACCTATTAAGTCTGTTAATAACACCTCTATAGAACAGGTTTCACCTGCTGCCTGAGTTCCAGAGGCACCTCCGAAGTCCCTCTTCTGTTTTCCACTGGGTCCAGAAGAAGTTTCCATTCTCGATAAAGATGATTCACTCGTGCCCTTGTTGGTAGACACAAAGCCTGAATCGCTCGACGAACTCCTAACAGTCCCTGTGGTTGCAGCCGCTGTGGTTGCAGCCCCTGTGGTTGCAGCTCCTGTTACGGTTGAGGTTGGTCGACTGTTATTAATGGACGGAACCTTCCCAGTGGATGTTTTAATGAAACTGCTATTATCTTGTCTCAATTGTTCTTGTTGCTTTGGAGAGAAAGATAGACAAAGAGACAAATATTTGAGGTCACTAAACATGTTCACTGACACACACGCAAAAAAAATATTTTGATACGCTTTACTTTGGGCTATGATTGATGGAGAAATATCGCAAACCAATCAGATGCATAACTTAAACCAATCGTGACTTAGTCTCTCATATTTTCCGATACTTGAAGCGGATGACGTAGAATAACGTCTTCTTGACTCCAATGTGGCATTTTCCCAAGTTGTGACTACTTTTGGTTGGGCTTCATAACAAAGGGACACCAAATCAAGATGGACTCTAACTAAATGACCCCCGTTCCCCTGAAGGCGGCGTAGGGTGGGGGAAGAGAGAGAGAGAGGAATGGCTGGTATTTTAGCAGCTGAAACATTCGGTTAATATTTACCCTGAACCACGTTCTGCATCATTTCACTCGACATGTACGTCTGTCTAACTTTTTAGAAATTATTTCTCAAACTCCGAGGATCACAATGAACAGGAATGCCAAGTGGAGATCAAGACAGGTGAGCAAACAAAAACATCTCATTACCCTTGCTGTTTACAATTTAGTTATCTATCATGTGATTGGCTTCATCGCCTCCAAGAAGGACCACTTCATAAATAATCTGGTGTTCATGGTCTTCAGAGTTTCACTGTTCAGTCAGACTGGAAACGAATTTACAAATCACACAAACTAATGTTTATCACAGCACACAAACCTCTTGCTGTCTTTGTTGCTCAAGCTGTGTTTGTTGTCGTTTTTCCTCCAGTTTTCGCTGTTGTTCGCCTGATAAATTAAAACCAAACCAAAACAGAAATCTTACTTTTGGAACACACCCCGAGAATATAAAGAAAAAGCTAAACTTAGTAGGTAGTGCTGAATAGTTAAAAAATTTGCCTAAGCTCAAAATTACGCCTTAAAAAAATATATCCGATTTTCCTTTTCGTCGATAGGAATGATTTCACAAGGGATCCCCATTCCAGTAATAGTGTTGACACATTCACATCATCTTTCCAAAATATAGAAAAATAGAACGGAATTCTAGAATCGTGTCTCTTTACCAAAATTGAGTTAACTCCCCAGACTCACTTTCCACCTGCGCAACTGTTTTAAGACCTATAAGTTTAAAACTAAACTAAATTTTTCTCTTTGGCGACCAAATCCTGAAAATTAGTCGCCAAATTGGCGACTAGAATGCTTCATCATAACCTTAACTAGAGATATAGTAAGTTAAAAAGATTTGCAAAGATAAATCCGCGGCAAACTCCCTCGTTAAGTTTGTTTCCAACACGCAGCACGTGCATCTCGATCGATGAATAGATGCCACCTTGGAGTTAGGTGAGCTTGAACGTTGTATATCATCCATCCTAGTGTCCACATTGTGGCACGTGAAAGATCTTTTTCCTTACTTAATTTTGGAGGGTTTATCTAGAACGCTAACAGCGGGAAAAAAGGTTTTGTTTGTCTTTAAAAATGGCGACCAACTTTTTTCGAATTGGCTACCACTTTGAAAAATTTAGGAGCCAAGTTGCCATCAGAAAAAAAAAATTAATTTCACGCCCTGGTAAGGCTTTAAAATGTAATCAGTCACATATGAATAACGTACCAAGAGGATCACTTTTGCTGTAAGGTGAAATACCAAAACAAGGTTTAGTGATACTGTAGTCGATGAACGGTTCTTGGGGTTTTCCTGATGATGCGCCTCGCGTCAGTTTACGAGACCTCTTTTTTTTTGCAGTGGAAATCTTTCCATCAACCTGAAAATAGTTAATTGAGCAAGTAAGAATGAGTCGTGCACGTAAGAAAGAGTCGTGTACATGTATCTACCGATGTTTTAGCAGCAAAACACCGGGTTGTATTCCTTGTCTCTCTTTAGGAAGCGCTTGTCCAACTCCTCTCAAGCGATTAAATTGGAGACTCTCTTTTAAGTTCCCCAGTTACACCTCAGAGTTGAGAGGTACGTTGTTCCAAAAAAACACATCACATTGACCCAGCTAAAGCTAGAGCCCAGACCTCTTGATCTAGAGTTTGAGTGATCACCACAAAAGCCACAAGGTCACATAATCTCCCAATTACCATCACCTCTACACAAAGAAACAGTTGAACTGGGAACTACTGAAGATCTTCGGACGATTATCTCACTGGAAAGATTCCTTTTACAAGATAAACGTAACAATAACAAAACTAATAATAACGGTGCTTTCCTCACCAAGGCACTAAATAAAGGTTCTAATCTTGTTGAGCCTCTATACAGCCACTCAGATCGATTATCAATCTGAAACAGCATCTGCAATAACGAAACAAAAACGGTGTTTGCTTTGACATGTCAGATACAACACTAAATGAAATGAAAAATGAACAATGTACATGTATACAGACACAGATTTGCTTCACACATGTACCAAAGAATTTACATGTACATGTACATGTACCAAGAATTTCGACAAGAAACAGATTCAGCTGACCTTCACCAAACTGCAATCTAGCTGCATCACTTTGGCTTTCAACCTAAAAAAAAGGCAAGAACATTTCAAAACTGATCACAGACAAGTCCAAAACTTTACATTCACTTTGTTCCGAGGTCAGTTTATTCGATGATCAGATCCTTGCAGGATCAAATCATTCCACATAATCAGGACTACGGCTTTCCAAAATCAAACGATAGTGTCCAAATCAGACCGAACCGTTCGGTATTGTTCGAAATTAGATGGAGAGTTGCCTATGACATGACCCCATAAAGAAATAGTGATTTAAAAAGAAAGACAGTACTCATCGTACAGGAATATGACACTCATTTCCTAGTTAGCGTGCGTATAAACAAACCAAAACGATTTGGAAATAAATTAGTATTTGACAGTTACGTGAACAAAACTCAAAAGCACTCACTTATCTGTATGCATGATTAATACTTGTAAACAAATAAACACTGATTCCTCTCACCATTGGCCTCTCCATTCAGTTTTAACCCACTGATGCACTTTAAGTTTTACCATTGGTCGCTACGAAACAAGAAGAACTAAATTTATAAAATAATTATATTGTAACAAATAAACGAATGAATTACATCTTATTAAATACAGAAACTAAAATTGATTAAGTTCTTTCCTACGATCTAGAACTCTCCTCGGCAATCACAATTTCATCTTGTTACACTGCCAAGGAGATGTATGTATCATAAAACAAATAGTTATAATAAATTATGATGTATGTATCAGAAACAAATAGTTAAAATAAATTATAATGTATGTATCATAAAAAAATTGTTATAATAAGTTATAATGTAAGTATCAGAAACAAATAGTTATAATAGTTATTACAAATTATAATGTATGTATCATAAAACAAATAGTTAAAATAAATTATAATGTATGTATCAGAAACAAATAGTTATAATAAATTATAATGTATGTATAATAAAACAAATAGTTATAATAAATTATAATGTATCTATCAGAAACAAATAGTTATAATAATTATAATGCATGTATCATAAAACGAATAGTGATTATAAATTATAACGTATGTATCGGAAACAAATAGTTATAATAAATTATGATTCAACAGTAAACAGTTGTCTCATACATTAGGAAACTCTTCTAGATATTCTTGTATAAACTCCTTGGAATGCTCAGCTACCTCGTCCCAGACTTTCTTGCCTGCCATGATGAAAAATAAAAATAACCAGACTGTCTGGACTCAATCTATCCAGTGTTTTCACACTGTCAACAAAACTCACCCATAGATCACTCAACAATTGGTTCATATATCAGCGTGTGTTCATTGAGATATGAAGCACACAAGAAGTTTGGAGAGCACGAAAGATGCATAAGAGTCGCTCGAGGCATAGCTGAGAGCAACTCTAGCTTCTTGAGTGCTCCCCAAACTTCCCAAGTGCTTCATATCTTGATGAACGCACAGCTGACGTATGAACCAATTGTTTTAACATTTCAACCTAATGGGAAATTTTACTTCTCGAGGAATTTGCTTGCTGACATCATGAGCATGCACAATAGGAATATGAAGCACGCTCGCACAATTGGATTTGATTAGACAAATTTACCAGCTATGTTATAATTGTCATTTATGGGAGTGATAGTTAAATATGAAATTTTGGCCAATGAGGCCTTCAGTGACCTGTTATTGTCAGCTTTAGCAACTGAAATTCAATCAGGTTTCAGTTACTTTGATTAAAAGAAGGCTATAAAATTTGTGGTGGTCTAACCTGTATGATACACATGATGGAGTTTCTTGACTGGTAAATATTGAGCAAATCCATCATCAAAGAAGACCAGATATCTAGGACAAGAGGGCTTCTTGATGAGTAAAGAGGATCACAACAAATCAGCAGTGAAACAACATGCATTTGAGATCACCAACATGACATCATTAAATTATCAAAACACAGCATCATAATGATTTGGCAATTGACAAAGTTGTTTGTTTGCTGAAATAAACTACAACATGAAAAGTCATGTCAATTGTGTGAAATTAGGCTTCTGAGAATAGATTTTTCCCTTTGGCTTTGAAAATTCAGCAAATTTTCACTCTTTGTCCCAGCAAAATGAATGTCACCCAAATTGTTGCTCAAATATTTAAGCAACATCCAAGAGTAAATTTCTTGCCTATTCCTCGCACTAGTTTTGCACAAGATACTGTGCATGAATAGATGTGTGAATGTTCATCACACAAGTGACAACTTACAGTCTAGAGGTTTACTGTTAATGACTTTCTTTTGACAAAGCGTATTTAACATTCTATAGAGCCAATTTTTATTCCTTTTCTTCAAATTTTTGCTTCTTGTCATGGTCATTCTTGCTGGTGAGATAATCAATCAACATGTACAATGGCCATTTGCCAAAAAACATGTACAAAGCTTGTAATGTGAGTCTGAAAATCAGAGGGCAAAAAACAAAAGAACATAAAAAAAAAAAACTTCAAGAATTACAACTACAACAATCATACAAAAACAACTATATACAAAGAGTAACCTGTTTTTGTTTTCACCACAGGCATTCTCAGCAACAATGCCAGCATACAGTACATCTAACTTGCCATATATTCCTGCAAAACAGATTTTCTCTATTGTTGAAATAAAGTGTACATGCGAGTCCCTCTTTTTAAAGAATACATGATCACTGAATTTTTTTTATTTACACGTAGAGTAACAAGACCATTGGAAATGAAAACGTAAGTTGATTGATTGCAGAATTGTGGTAGTTGTTGAAAGATTACTTCAGTCTCCTTTCCATTTTTCCAAGGTCTAGAAAGTTACATTAAAATTTAAAATTACTTTAAGAATTCCACTTTTCCAATATTTCCAACCCTTCCAACAATTAATCCTTCAAAATACAGTCGTGTAATGTACATAATTTCTTGTACCATGATGCTTACACGTCTTTTGCCTTGTGACTAAAAGAAAACACATCAACTGTAACTTGGTTAGGTTTGTTTTATTTGTTACTGTTATTCATTCTGTTTAAAGCCTTTCATTCTGTAAGACAGACAATTTACATGCATTTAATGTGATATACATGTAGAGTTAAAAGTATTTGTCAAGAGAGCCCTGTGATGTATGTCCTCTTGGATGACTTAGCTCATTAATTCCACCACATTAGAATGTTATGTTACAACAAGAAGGAAACAAAAGCAAACATGAAGCCTTGGGAACAACAAGAGAAAGAAAATGTTTATGACCTGTGGAAGGTTTCCGCCAAGACGCATTCTCTTCTGCTGTATCCCGAGGCCTCAATGCTAGTGAAAGAAAAGTGAGGAGCATGGGTCAATTAAAGTGTGAATGACAGATCTTTATGGACAAAAGCAAAAAAAAAAATCAACAAAATATTAACAGCTTTATCATGGTTAGGTTACAAGCTCAAGGTGTGAAAAAGTGAAGGTGACGAAACAATCAATCATGCATAAGAAGTAATTTCCGCAAAGAAACCCTTGATCTTTTCTGTTCTATTAAATTTTATTACAGCCATTTTACAGCACAAGCCCTCAGGTTTAATTTTTGACGCCATGTGAGCTGCTCATTCGCATCAGATTTTACTTAGCATTATGAAGTACAGTAGGCATAAATTTCTTCTTAGAGGGTGTTGCAATCAAATTTTTACAGTTTAATCTGAAAGTAAGTTTGCTGGAGACTTGAGAAGGAATAAGAGTAAACCAAAAATAAAGGTAAGTGTTTTAAAAAAATTGTCATAATGACTCCACATGACAATAGAATCTTCCAATGAGAGGAATGATGCTAAATGTTACCACCTTTTAAGGCCAGTTCAACTTTTAAAAGGAGACATAACTTCCACCTCGAAAACCTTTATCTAGGATTGTGAGTGATTAACATTATAAATCTTAGGTGAAAAAAAGTTATCAATTTTACATCAAGATTTCTCAGTATTATATAACAGTGATTAAAGAGATAGTAACCTCTAATCCAAAAACGGACAGTTTAGACCAGGATTCAAAAAATTCAAAATCACTCTTTTTCTTTCCCTGCAAGATCTTTTAACCTTTGCAGTTTGTAAATTAATAAATATTGAGACTCCACTGGAGTGTTTAAATGCAACAGGTGGTCAGTTGTTTCAAGATACAATTTGGATGTAAGAGGAAAGAACTGCAAAAAAATCCATGTCATGGTCATGGTCTCAAAACTGTAGGACATCAGTGCAAACAAGCCTCTCCTCTATCATATAAACCCACTAGTTACAAATATTAATGCAAGCACTCTAGAAACTAAACACAGGCTAATTTTTGTCATAGAACAGAAACATTTCAGACTCACCTACAACACGACTGCCAACATTGAGCACTGATGGGTTGGGATTGGTCTCCAAAGAAATATGATTGGATGACAACACTCCTCTTGTACCTTTGTCAAACTTCACCTTGTATTTGATCTGAGCAATAAAATTAAGAAATTAAGTTATACATGCATATTACATATTCCAGTAAAGATTACTAATAAATGAAGTTCAAATTACTTCATCTTCAAATTTATATGCTTCCTCAAAATGTTGAATTCACAAAAAAAAAAGTTTTGAAATTAATGATACCAAAATCTTACCTGATTGTGTTTGTCTGTCAAAATCCTCTCTATTATACCTTTGAAACAAAAACAAATGAGAGCAACACATATAATTGTCTTTTCACACAGATTAACAAAAGCTAAAGATATAAATGCCTTCAACAGGAGTTAAATTGCAAACCTATAATCTTGCCAATACTACATGTAATTTTGACCCTCCACCACTGAGTTTTAGGAAAATGCAAAATTCCTTGAACATCCTGCTTAAATGTTGAAGTAATCAACAAGAGCTTTAGAAAATTAAACAGTTTTTAACAAAATGCAATGTACATGAATATTACTTACCTGGATACCAGAGTTCATCAGCCCTCTGACCTATGACGCGAGTCCCAACCTCAAACTTAGGAGGCCCTGCTGGGGGACTGGGTAACAAAACACTTATAATCAGTTAATTTACTTTTACAAACTTTCAATTAAAAGTAGGAATTTATGACTGAGGGTTTCATCAGCTCCCTTTTTGCATGTGATTTCTCTCTCCAAATCTGTGCTACTCTCTGCTATGTGACAGTATCATAAAACTACTGTTTTCTTCCAGTTGAGCAGACCCAGCAGATTTAGTCTTCTCTCAAATACAGAGAAGTTTCACATAAAAGTCACAAAATGATCAAAAGTGTATAGAAACTCAAAAGCAATATTTGCATACTTGCAGATTTTGACTCAAAAGATATCAAAAACCACTTTTTTTGAACACTGAAAGTTCTAACACAAAATCGACCAACAACATTTTGTGTTATTTCAGAGTCTACACACCTTTTTACTTCTTTGTCAATTGATTCTTTTTTCCCAAGAGAAGACGGTCCAGGCTGAGGTAAGGATGCCTGCCTGAGGGGCAGCTGAGGAACAGAGGGTGTGGTACTTGGTCTAAAACAAAACCAGACATGACTCAATAAGAGTACAAGTCAACATTTACATGTACAATCATGTTACTTGACCTTAGATATCTAATGAATGAAAAAATGTAATTAAAGATTACAACACAAGAAAGCAGTTCAAACCAGTGTCAAAATAAGCTCATATCAACAGGTATCTTGACGTATCTGTTGTGCAATCTTCAAAAGCTATCAACTTTTACATGATCAAATTACATCTCATGGCTAATACTAGGCACCTATATGTACATGTAAATTCAGGTAAAATGTTTGATGATGAAACTGTGATGTTCAAAATATATTTTGAACCATTCTTGCAGAAGAGTCTGTTCATTTTTCTATCTTTGTTTTGCTCAGAGTGAAAAGCTTCTGAAACTAATTTTCAACTTTAGCCTAGCTCTGATATTTTACAGTTCAGTGATGTTGTTTTGGTTTCTTATTAATGTTGTTTTGGTTTCTTAATAAGCCTGCAAAGAACAAATAAAGCTGAAAATCAAATGGGCACAAGAATTTATACCATAGCACATGTAAATGTGTGCGAGACATTAAATTCAGGAGTGGTGTAATCGAATCTTCAAACAACCATGTTCTGGTGTACATCACAAACCTGCTGTTGACAGGTGACGTAAGAGGTGGTGTTCCTGTCTGCAATTCAAGATTAGGTAATGTTTGCTGCACAGGAAGAGATGGGGGAGATGACATCACAGCAACACGTTCTGGTAAAAATGGCTCTCCACTGCCAACTGGTGGCTTCAATGTCTTGTAAATCGGAGGGGGTGACTTAATGAGACTTAACGGAGAAAAAGAAACATCTGATTGTTTTGTTCTTTGTACAGTTAGTGACATAGTTCCAGTCTGTGATGAAGTGAAGGTGTTTACTACTTCCTTAGGTGGAGCAGGTCTGATTGGAACATAATTTTGTAAAATGTTTGTTTGAGCTGCTTGCTGCCATGGAGGTACTGAGAGATTTTGATTTAGATTAACTGTCTCTGCTTTGTCCTTTTCTTTTTCCTTTTCTTTTTCCTTTTTAGTTTCCTTCTCCTTTTCTCTCTCTTTTTCCTTCTCTCTTTCCTTCTCTCTTTCCTTCTCTCTTTCCTTTTCTCTTTCACGAGTCTCATTCTTGATGTCTTCATCAGTGGCTTGGCAAGACATATCAGCAACATCAACATATTCAGTCTCATCATCATCAATAACAATAACAGTCGCACTCTTCTGCTGTTGTTGTTGCTGCTGCTGTTGTTGTTGTTGATCCTGTTGGTCCTTGCTACCCAGAGTAGTTCTTGGAGCTTCTTTTTCTGATGTCCTGTAATCATGATAACATCAAGAATGAACAAAGTGAATCAAATGACTGTGTCTCACCACATGCTACTTGAGCCTCACAGTCACTAACATCATAACAATGTAGATGTATTCTCAAGCCTACTGCTGACCAAAAGAGCGGGTTTTTATTGAAGGACTCACCTTACTGTTGGCAGAGTGCCTTGATATTCCTTTAACTGTGCATCAATGGAGTCCAATAGCCTTCTCAAAGTGGAGTGGCTTTCTGATAAAAAGACACAACACTAAAGTTAGTATACTTCTCAGCAAAACAAAAAGGTGACCAGAGTGTGTAAATGACACAAGTTAAATTTGCACTGAACTACCTCAGGTATAGCAAAATAGCCCATTATGCTACTATATACATGATTGCATTATTGGCTCTAAGTTATAACCAAATGATAAAGACGTAACAACCTGTTGCATAGCTGCTGCAGACAGGTTGTCAAATTAGCAACTTATGCAGTAAATAAGTCAGTGGTCAAAACTAAGAATGGCAGAGACTCTTCCTGAGCTTGGTTACTACAAAGTTCCTGTGTGACACAAATCCTGCAAACTGCTGATACATTATTAATGTATGCAGGAAACATGTTGCTTGGGAACAGCCTAGAGCACAGAATCTGAACTTCTGAAGTTCAGTTCCACATGGGACTCAGAATTTTTTTCTTTGTCCCACACTTGTGACCAGGTAAAATAAATATCTTGCCCAAGTAAGTAAGTAAGTAAAGTAAATAAATCTTTATTTGAATAGGATGTACAATTACAGTCAAGACTGTATTCTCCCTTATGGTCCTATGAAACTGAATTACAATAATTCTAATTACAGACATTTAAAATACTGAAATAACAAGATTTTAAAGATATTATGAAACTTAAGATCACAAAAAATATCTAAACTGGGTCAATGTCATGCCATCTTGACCTCACACTTGGTGAACAATACAGATTTACAGGAAATACAGCTGTAAGTGAAATTCTTCTTCATTTATTACAGTAACTTCACAAGATGATTTTAGCAATCATAGTTTTTTTCCCTTGCCTTTCTTTATTGTAGTTTAATAAATACATACTATGACAAGAAAGAAGAAAATAACACAAAAAAACATAATTCTGACCTTCAACAGCAACTGCTCTCTGTAAAAGGGTTCTTGTGGTCCTTTAACAATTGAAACATTGCAAAAACAATAAATCATTGTTATGATTAGTTTGGATCAGGCCCCAGTTGTTAAAAGAATGGATAATGCTATTCACTAAATAAAATATCTATCCAGTGGATAGAACAGTACATTTTGGGAACACTTATCTACTAGATAGTGATTTATCCATAGGATAGCATTATCCCTTTGAAAAACTGGGCTTAGGAAGGCCAGTTATCATTACAGTATTTGTGACAGGACTGTGCTTACAAACACTGAAAGATAATAAGTTTCACTGCAATGTACTGTAGCTTATTTGCATACGTACTCTTCAGAGTTTCAGTTCAACTATATATAAAGACATTGGCATGTAGCTTGACCCGTTCTATGCACTAACATCAGCATGGTTATTCTCCATACTGTTCTCTTCACATTTCTTATAGAACTAACAAGGAGATTTTGTCTAACCCTTTAAACTCCCATGAGTGACCACAACAACATTTCTCCTCACCAAATCAATACAATATCAAACAGACAAGTGATGAGAATAAAGAAAAATATCAGTTAGGGGATTAGTTGATTCTATATCAAATTCTCAGAACTAACATCATAAGAATTGAATGGCAGACAGTAGGGAGAATTA